GCGGAACTTTTTCCTTTCAAAAGTATGGGAAGAAAAGTTTATGGGTTGGGAATTGTGTTAGGGAAAATAAAGGTTGAGAGTATCAATTTTAACCTCCTTTTGTTACAGTATTAATGTATGAAAATACGAAAATAACCTTGTAAGGAGGAAAAGCTTAGAAAATTTGAAGTATTTTTTATAAATGATATTATTTCTATTTACATGAAAAGATTTGTTTCCATCAGGCTGTTGAGTTCGGTTGCAATAATTATTGTACTGATTAATTTTGTAGGATGCACGTGCCAAGGAGACAAGGCACTGTAACAGCTGTGGTTCTGTTGTTCTCTTCAAAACTATGAAGAAGATAAAGGGCTCGACCTCAAGAGCTGAGTTTCTATGCAAACACTGTGCTAAGGTTATTTAGAATACCTTATTTATAGGTTGTATATGCATTAAAGCAAAATGTTATTGTAAATCTACTTTCTTAAATTGTGGTTGTATTTGCAGTTGAGAAAATCAAAGCAATATTGTGGCATATGCAGAAAGATTTGGCACCATTCAGATGGTGGCAATTGGGTAGGACCATCTGCATTTTGGAGTTCATGATCATCTTATTTTCTTATAGTTGCATTGTCTGACATTGTTCGGTATCAATTTGTGCATTAGGTCTGCTGTGATGGTTGTAATGTTTGGGTGCATGCTGAATGTGACAACATTTCTACAAATCTTTTCAAGGTGTGCTTTCCAAATCTAACTTGCCTTTCATGTTATGTTATCTTTACTTGTTAAACCATTGAGGCATACTAACCTGGTTGCCATTTGAAGAATCTGGAAACCATTGATTATTATTGCCCAGGCTGTAAAGCAAACTCCAAGTCTATGCCATCTACTTTAGCAAAAAAGGAGCCAGAGTTCAAGCATGTTAGCAAGTATGTGCTTTCTCTTATGTTTTATGTGGATTGGTAGATGCTTTATTTTGTACGCTTATATACGAAAATGATTGCTGTAACTAGCCTGGACTATTTTGAGTTTGAGGCTTAGTTGAGTTGACTTTAGCCACTTATCTGGATTTTATTTCCTGCAATATTTGGAAAACAGGCCCAAAGAAAAAAATGGGCAAAATGTTATGCCTGACAAGCTTCCTGTAATCTGCAATGGCATGGAGGGAATTTATCTTCCTAAATTTCATCTGTAAGCCCTGGGCACCTTTGAAATTATTTCTTGTGAGGTTTTTAATTTCTACCTTTCCTCTATCTTAACGACAAATTTCCTTCATGTTTAGAGTTGTATGCAAGTGTGGTTCATGTGGGTCAAAGCAGCAGTCACTTGGTGAATGGGAAAGGCACACTGGATGTAGAGCCAAAAAATGGAAGTACAGTGTGAAAGTCAAAGAGACCAGGCTACCACTTGGTGATTGGGTTTGTTCTCTTCATTTACTTTCTTCTTTGGTCTCATTAATATCCTTCCAACTTTTCCTTTTAAATAACTAAAGCCTTTATATCTCTCTAGTGTCTTTGAATTATGTGTATATCTTGGTTTTGTTCTTCTGATTCTTCTGTTTTTGCTTATAATTGAGCTTTAAAGCCTTGCCGATCATGTTGGTTGAAGGCTAACTCTTTTAGGCATAGCTTCTGAATTGATTGGAATCTACTATAGGTAGATGATTTAGAAGATTGTTTAATGTCATTCACTCCCCCCCCCCCCCCTCCTGCGTCCTCAAGTTTTTACTATGTGAAATTTAATTTGATGCACAAGATAAGTATGGTTCCTGTCTAGTTTCTAATTAATTTTGGAAATTATGCAGATTTCGGCATATAATACTCTTGGTGTTGATATTCTAAAGTTAGATAAGCAGAAGTTAATTGGTTTTTTGCAAGGTAAGACATGTTTATTTATTCTTCTTTGTGTTTGACAGTTGGAGAAATTAGACTAGTTTTCAACTGGAAAAAACTTGTTCATCTATTTCTTCTATCATAACAGAAAAATATGAGCCTGTTTATGCAAAATGGACAACTGAGAGGTGCGCTGTTTGTAGATGGGTTGAGGACTGGGACTATAACAAAATTATTATCTGTAATAGGTAATTGTATTGTTTATTGGCGGCTTATGTTGACTTGGTTTATTTTGAGCGGTCAATCAAGATTGTCCCAAGATTGGCATTTGTATTATGTTCACCACCCTTATTTGAAGAGGTTTTCCCTGCTTAGGTGTCAAATAGCTGTCCATCAAGAATGCTATGGAGCAACAAATGTGCAGGATATGACATCATGGGTTTGTAGAGCTTGTGAAACACCCGATGTTGAAAAGCAGTGCTGCCTTTGTCCTGTGAAAGGCATGTCATCTCAAACCAAAATCTCTACCATCTGATTTCATTTGCTGTTGTTGATATTTAGTTTATATAGATTGTGGAGATCTCTCTTCCCTGCAATTTCCAGAGCATTTACAAATTGAAATCTGGTAGTCATTTATAGAGTGCATTTGCATTTTTTTCTTTCAATGGTATTTTGTTCTTATAATACTTGATCTCGTTTATCTAGGGGGTGCTCTTAAACCAAGTGATGTTGATTCACTGTGGGTCCATGTCACATGTGTTTGGTTTCGGCCTGAAGTCAGTTTCTTGAATCATGAGAAGATGGAACCTGCTATTGGAATCCTTAGGATTCCATCAAGTTCATTTTTGAAGGTACCTCATGATTCAAAAGTTATTGTCTAGTCTGTTCTTTTTAAACTTCTAGTTGTTTGCAATCTAAATGCAATTTAAATGTATCAATGGCAGACTTGTGTGATCTGCAAGCAGACTCATGGTTCCTGCACTCAATGTTGCAAATGTGCAACTTATTTTCATGTGATGTGTGCATCAAGAGGAGGATATAGCATGGAAGTAAGTAATTCCCTTTCTGACCTTATAGCTGAAGCCCTCATGGCCAAAAAAAAAAAAAAAACCTGGTAAATTTAAATAAATTTTTGACTGATACTGTTGTCTAGAGTTCACATGAATGAGATCTTCTATAAAGTATGCTTTTTTATACTTCAGCTGATTCTTTTTAACCATCTCAAATTGAATTTTACAGGTACATTGCTCAGAGAAAAACGGGATACAAATAACAAGGAAGTTAGTTTACTGTGCTGTTCACAGGTTAGAAATATGTCCCTCCATTTGTTTAAACTATATTTTCTGGTCTCTATTTGCTCAGAGCATGAAAGCATATGACAATACTCTTCTGTGCATTTTTGTGTGTGTTTTGTTCTTATACATCCTGTGTTGATTCAGGGCCCCAAATCCAGATTCAGTTGTAGTCATGCATACTCCTTCTGGGGTTTTTGCTACCAGAAACTTGCTTCAAAAACAGAATGGGTGTTTTCGAGGTTCAAGGATGATTTCAAATAAGAGAAATGAGCTGGTTGAATCCTCAGGTCCAGAGACTGAGGAGGTCGATGCATTCTCTGCTGCAAGATGTCGTGTATATAAAAGATCAAGCTCTAAGGTAGGAAATCCAGGAATTCTATATCTCCTGAGAACTTCAGATTTCTTTATTCATGAAAGCCAAGTCCATTGATTTTATGACATTAATTTTATGATTTTATCAACTGAGGGTCGTTATCTCCCTTTTAATGTTATTGTTAGCAGATGGCTGTAGGGGAACCAAGGTTTCACAGGCTGAGTGGGCCAAGTCATCATCCTCTAAATGTGATAAGTAGATTGAGCACATATAAAGTACTGTACTTATCCTTGCTATAATACATTTCTTAGATGATAATGTGCTAGATCACACCTCCTCATATTTATGGTCTCATAACAGGAAGTTGAAGATTCTACCATTTTCTCATCATTCAAAGAGCGTCTATATTATTTACAGGTGAAAATTACTTCTTGATATACAGCTTGTGTTTCTTTCCTTGATATAGTTTATAAATTTCATTGACAATTTTTGTGTCTTTTAGAGGACTGAGAACCATCGAGTTTGTTTTGGTAAATCTGGTATACATGGATGGGGACTTTTTGCACGTAGAAACATTCAAGAAGGAGAAATGGTACTTCCTTTATGCCATACATTTAGAGTATTTGAGCAAGCTAGACTTAAACATCCACAAAGACTAGGATTGCTTTAGTTCAGTGATTTTGATGCTAGAAATTTCTGCCCTCCAGGTCATTGAGTATCGTGGTGAGCAGGTTAGAAGAAGTGTTGCGGATCTTAGGGAGGCACAATACCGTTTAGAAGGCAAAGATTGCTACGTGAGTCCCTTGCTCTTTAGTCAATACAGCCTTCTTGTTTTGTTTCAATCATGATTCCTAAAGATCATGTAATGTATGATGCAGCTCTTCAAGATCAGTGAGGACGTAGTGATTGACGCCACAAACAAGGGTAACATTGCACGCTTAATCAACCATTCGGTATGATTCTTATCCTTCTCTCGTTGGCTTCAAGTTGCTTTAGTTCATCCTTTCTAGTATAGTTATTCCTCACCCCATTAACTTTATGGGACTCCATGCTCTTACAATGTGCTGAAATTGACTCCTCCCTCGTTGCAGTGCATGCCCAATTGTTATGCAAGGATTATGAGTGTTGGTGATGAGGAGAGTCGGATAGTTCTTATTGCTAAGACCAACGTGTCTGCTGGTGATGAACTAACGTAAGATACTCAGACCACACTTCTACCCACGTCGCCGCCGTGTGTGTTTCAATTTCTCAACTACTAATTTGTGTACTTTGTTTGGCAGGTACGATTACTTGTTTGATCCTGACGAGCATGACGAGTTAAAAGTGCCTTGTCTTTGTAAAGCTCCGTTATGTCGGAAATTCATGAATTAAGTATGATGTGTTTTTACATTTTGTCCAAAAAAGGGTTTTTTTTTTTCTCCTTCCAATTTTATATCTCTTCTAAAGCATTGACAGTCTCGCAATTTATTTTTTTGTTGCCAATGAGTTTGTAATTCTTTTCAACAATATCATAGCAGATATTTTCTGTAATTTTTTTTATTACAATAAAAATATAAAATTATCAGTGATTTTACTGGAGTTTTAACTTTTTAATAATGTCATAGTTATAATATTATATAATATTATAATTTCATAATTATAATATGATATTAAATAAATGAATATATAATATTATAAATAAATTTTTAATAAAATATATTAATTATTGTATAATGTTACATTATATTGATTATTAGAAGTTTATGATGTTATATAATATTATAATTATATAATTTTTTTATTGTTACTATTATTTTTATTATTATTATTTAAAAAAATTTTAAATTTAAGAACTACATCTGTCGGCCAATGGTTGAATTTGGGCTGGGGCTAAAAAAATTGAATAACGCAAGTAGCCCAGTAGAATTTCAGCCCAGTAGAATTTCTGCCGAAAGCCCAATACGACTAACGATGCCCATATTTACGTGATCTGATACAAGAACCGAACCGGCAATCCATTAATATATATTTTTAAGTTTTAAAATTTAATAATTTTTAAAATCTGAGAATTTCCCGCGCGTGCTGCGTGCGTGCGTGCGTCTAAATATATTCCGCGGGTCTCAGAGAGTTTCAAATTTCAAATCAAACTCGAAATTATTAAGCAGAAAGGAAAAACGAGGAAGCAATTGAAGAGAACGACGGGAATTTTCAGCTGCAGATCTCCTTCTGCTTGCTCCAAGTTCTGCTGGTTCTTTTTCCTCTCTCAAGAGCAGACGAATTCAACTTTAGCTTGAACTTCTTTCATTCACAAACATATTTGTCTCTGTATTCTTGTTTTCTATGATTATCTGTTAATTTCACTGTTAATTTCGATATGGATTCATTTGCAATTTCTTCTCTCGTTTTCCTGATTAGCAGTTTGATTGAGTCGGTTTTGATCAGACATTAGATGCGAGGCACATGGAGGGGTACCATGATGGGAGTTGGGAGTATGAGCTTATTGGATCTCAAGAAATCAAAAAGCATGCTGAAGGAGCTTCTGGGGCAATTGCCGACATCAAATACCTCAGGAGCAAGATAACAGCTGGTAAGACCTGATACCTAAGTCTGCTATAGGAGCCTCTGCTATAGGAGCAAGAATCCAAAGGAGAATCATGCAAGAGAGATTGATATCAAAGGAATTTTGTTTGCATTGCTGCATTGAACAGATGGCTGCGTAGGGTAGTGAAAATAAGTAAGGATAACTACATTCTTTTGAAATGAAAATTTTGCCTATCATAGCTGTACTGTGTATGCTCCTACAACAAATTGTTATTACTTATTACAATTTTCTAGAAAACTTATGAAGAATAGGTGGATAACAATTATTCTGAAAATGAATTAGCAGGGTGTTTGATTCTAAGCCATGGATAGGGAAACCAAACGACTGTCAACCGAAGGCCATAAGCGCTCTTCATGCCATTGCCATGAACACCAATTTACAAGAAAATGAAGGTAACATGCACACCAAAAGCAGATCTTTATCTTGAATTTAAAAAATTTAGCAGTTCACTTTACAAATTGTTATCTTTGTTATATAGGCTATTACCGGGAAACCAACTATGATTTACTTAAATGATCCCAATCTTCGTGAACTTGTCACGATTTACTTGCCCCCTTTTTTATTCCCCTGGGAGGCAGGACTTGTTGTAAAGTACCATATAATAAGGGCTGGAACTTCTTGTTTTTTTTTTTTTTTCACAAAGAAATGAATGGAGAGAATCGGGAAGAAGATGAAGAGCAGAACCTAAACTAAAATGGAGAGAAGTATATCACTTCAACTCAAATTTTTTCATTACAATCTCTCCTATTTATAGGAGAATACAAACTCAATTCAAAATTCAAATTTAAGCAACTATTCTACATTTAAAAACAATAAAAGTACACTTTAAATTTGAAAATAATCGGGAAGAAGATGAAGAGCAGAACCTAAACTAAAATAGAGAGAAGTATATCACTTCAACTCAAATTTTCTCATTACAATCTCTCTTATTTATAGGAGAATACAAACTCAATTCAAAATTCAAATTTAAGCAACTATTCTACATTTAAAAACAATAAAAGTGCACTTTAAATTTGAAAATAACAGTCACTTTTGCTGCATGCTTGGTCCCTTCATTTCATTTGGATTTGCATTTGAGTTTGCATTTGCATTTCATTTGCTGCTCATTTGCAGCTTCATTTTATCAACATTTGCAGCTTAACTTGCTGCACGTTTTTGCTGTCATTTGACAGCTTCATTTTTATCAGATTTGCAGCTAAATTGCTGTCAAATTGCACCTTCATTTGCTGTCGATTTCCAGCCTCGTTGCTACCATTTCATGGCAGTTTCATTTCATCATTTCTGCAGATCTGAATGCCACATTTCTAACAATAATTCCAACAGAACTGAAGGAGAAGTTGTTTCAATTCGGATCTCACAGCAGCTCCTGTAGCACCACTGAAATCTGGTATTCCTCTCTTCAAAGGCTCAATGTTTATCACCAATGACAGGTCAAATTGTTTCCTTTTAAACTTCCTGACCACCATCAACCATAGAAACAAAAAATGAAGCACCGTGGAAAAAAATTATTCTATTAGACTTTCTTAACACTATATTGCACAACACACGCGCCACGAAACTATCCACCTCTATAATAGATGAATGATTCATTGTAAAGAAGACATTTATCAACATGCTAGAATCTATAGATTCAATACTTCCTGTGCATGGATAAACAATCTTGAATCAAGATTGTAATTCACTATGAAACTTCAGAAAAGGAGGAAAGTTTCTTAGGGTTATTGCATTTCATAGATGGTTTTGATCTTAATTGCCGTGGGATTTCTCCCTAGATGATTAGCAGATAAGGCCTATTTTCCACTAAAGAAACTGACAGACAAAAGATAAGTCAATATTATACATATTTTCCATTTGATAGAAAGCAAACACACACCTCAACAACAGTACAAGGTGGGATGAAAGCCTGACACATAGATTTTCACTTCTTAGCCAGCAATTTCTTTGGAAGCTTCTCTAGAGGGGTTGATTTTAGCACGAATAGCCTGGGAGCCCGTTCTTGTAGAGCACCACCACATTTTAGCCCTCGTGCCTCCAGTTCAGACTTAAGCCTGTCCATGCCAAGTGCCTATTAAACAATTGAACATTCAGAGACATATGATTAAATTTGTAAATATTAAACAACAGAAATAAAGAATTATTGCATGTCTAATCAATGTTGGTTATAGCTGAATTCCTATGTCAGAGCAAACTTCAGTTCAAGTCAGTGCACATATTAACTTTAAGCCTGCAGACATACCTCCATCTCTTCTGGTGAGTTAAATTCATCAAAATTCAATGGCTTGTTTGATTCTGGGCTATTTGCTCTACCAGCAACTGTTTCTTCATTAACCCCTGATTTCAAGCCCAGAAAACTATTTATTTCAGTGTTAATTATCTGGCTTTCAACTACTTCATTTTCTGCACTTGAAAGAGATTTGGATGGACCACCTGCTTCCTCCCTGTTTTCAGTTTCAGATTCATTATTTTCCAGCCTTCCAGCATGAAGTGTTTCAGTTCCAGTAATCAACACCTGTTCAGTGTGAAATCCGCTGGTAGTTTGTGCAGCTTTTCCCTCATGAAAATCTGATTGCACGACACTGTTATCTACTCTAGAAACCTCTTCTTTACCAGATTCTGAGCCATGCAATGCGACAATTTCTTTCTCTTCCTCAAAACCACTCTCAGATAACACTCCACCTGAAAAATCCCCTTCTTGTGCTCCACCAGTAACTGAACCTGGGCTACTCTGACTTCTCTTGTTAGAATCTGAATGATTTCCATAATTCAAAACAACAGATTTCTTAGTTTCTTCGTCATCCTCATCTTCGCTGCTATCTTCATCCATATTGTCATCCAACTTTCTCTTACCCATCCTAAAAAAACAATGTAGATATCAATATCTATCAAAATCAATGAAGGGCTTTCTATGAGATAGAAGAAACTGATAAAACTCAGAACTACCATATGCCGCATGAAAGAAATAAATAAAACTAAGTACAATCATGAAATGCTGCATATAATCTCAAAATCCTTACCATATCTTCAACCTCTTGGCATCAGCTCCATCCGGTAGCACTTTCCGCTTTCCGTTCTTAAAGGCTTCCCTGACTGACTCTTCAACCACAGCCATGCACTTTGCTGACTCCTCCCTATACTTCTCAACATACTTCGTTGTTTCGCCATCCCCAACCCCTTTCTTCCCAGTCTTTGCTTTCTTCTTTATGAAATCTTCAGCGATTTTCTATAACCTCCTCTCCTCCTGCTCCGCCTTCCATTCCTCCAGTCTGCGCTCTGCGTTAACGTGCTTCAGCCGCCGCCCGCTTATGGCACGGCACGCCTCAAACTTACTTGTTTTCTTTTGCCCTGCCTTCGTGGCGGCTCCACGCAGCAGCGAACCAAAACCTCCCTTACCACCGAGAAGCCGGAGGAAGAGGTTAAGCGTGACATCAGAGTGCAAAATCACCGAATCGTCCTTTAATTGGTGACCACGTATCAGGCGCTGGAGTTGGGCGGGAATTTTGGTGATCTCATAGATTCGCTGCTTGACGCATCGAGCTTCGATGACCGGAGTCGGGAATTGGAGAGATAGGGTTTCTCCATTAAGAAGCTTCACGAATAGCTGTAACGGCCGTCGTTGCTCGTCACCGTCGCTGTTGATTTGATCTGCCATTGCCGAGGAAATTAGCGATTTGACGTTGTCGGCAAAAGGACGTTGAATTTTGGCTTTGCTCTTATATATGGATGGCAGTCAAACCGCCAATAATTATTTCAGGAAATTATTTTTTAAATATTTTTCTCGGGGACCCGGATTCAGATCCGAACCGGAACGACTGTTATAAAGATTTCCCGGAGAAGAAAACGACTGCGTCGCGAGAAAATTGCAGCATCCTCGCCGAGATTGGAAGGAACGGAATCGGAAGAGAAATAAAGGAATGAAGAAAGATGGTATGCCTGATAAAGACCAGACTTTTCCGGCGAATCCGAACGTTCCAAAATGGGTCTGCCAGAAGTGTCACCACAACCTCGACATCGTCGGCGTTGATTCCCACGCCGAAGAGTTCTTGAACGACTCCTCTAGCTCAGGTTAGGGTTTCTGAATTGGAGTTGTGTTTTAATTATTATTGTTTGACCTTGAGCTTAATTTGCTTAGCTTCCGGTGAACTCTGGAAGGTCGTTTTTTGCTGTTCCTATATTGTTAAACCATGGATTGATTCCGTTGTTCTGTTTACTGAATTATGATCCTTGTGGTAGCTGAAGCTAACCACTCAAGTATTCCTTTCTTGTTCCTTTTGTTACTGAATTTGAAATGGTAAATTGTGATTGTAGTTTTCATGAATGTTGAAGCACAGTAAGCCACTCTATATGTCAGTTATAGCGAAAATTAATACAAGCTTTGCATTAATAAGTTAGTTCTTTGGCCTGATAAGTATTATGTGGTCTGGGTCTGGGACAAACAATTGCAGCAACGCAGGAGTCTTCCATTCATGGGGCTAACAGTGTATTGGGTTCAACACGTTTGGATAACTACTTTGTGCTGCCAAAGCAAAGACATCCGGCACAAGGGGTTTGTTCTCAACCTCATGCTGGGCTGGATTCAGGCCAGTCCAGGAAGGCTATGGAAGATTCATTTGTTGTTGTATATAAATCTGAGTTTGCATCTGATGGAAGTTTGACTCATTTACCATGGTCAGAAGGAGGGCTAGATGGTCCATTGCAGCCAAATAGCTCTGGATTTCACTCAACTCTAGCTGTCCTGAAACGTGCATTTGAGATTGCCACTACCCAGACACAGGTATCCATTATTTAAGGCTTACAGATTGGTGTTTTGTTTTGAACTGTAGTCTTGTTTGCATTAGTCATGTTGATGGTTAGGTGTTATGTTCTTTCTGCATGTCCAGATTGAGCAACCTTTATGCATGGATTGCATGGGGATGCTGTCTGTCAACCTTGAGAAGGAAGTTGACGATGTGATCAGGGACATTGAAGCATATGAAGGCTGCCTTCAGTATCTAGAGGTTGAGGCACAGAATGTTCCTAGTGAGGCTGATTTTCTTAAGGATAAATTA